AACACAAAAGGTAGACAACCAATACCAAAGAATGTTCGCCCAATCTCCCCACTAAATAAGTAAAGGAAGTGAAGAACACAAAAAAAGGTAGGTACATGGAGACATTCCCACGCACCCCAAACGCAACTAGCGCGGTACATGAGGGGGGTGCACCACATATTTCTATATGTCTATATTTCATATTTAAATATCTTCACACATGTGAACATAGACACGTACATACTGGAACCCATTGCAGGCCATGCGCTCAGAAGGCCGCTCTGCCAAGGCTAGCCGCGAAGGCCGGGCAAGAAGATATTCCTGCTGAGGAAGGCAACACCCCAGCAATAGTGAAGCCAATGGCATGTGACTTGGACTTGGATTCATCCGGCGAGATGCCGGCACTTGCAGCACTCCACCCTTCCCCCAAGTGGGCCGAGCGGGTGAGCCAGGCAGTCCAGGAAAGGCACCCTCCTTGTAAAGGCCTGGCAGAGGCTGATTGAAAATGCCGGCTTGAACGATTGCAGGTGCAGAAGCCGCAGCAGAGTACTCCAGTGGCTCAGTGGGAATCGTGACGAAGAACTTGCCTGAAGTAGCTGTTCCGAAGGACGGGTGCTGTGCGCATGGAAGATTTTGTTCGGGTCGTGGTCTGGACGCACAGAAGGCTTCCACTCTTCAGCACATGAGACAGGATCGTGGTGTGGTTACGGAAGCACAATCTGTTCTATGATGGATGCAAGGACCTGGCCGTTCCCATGCTGCCTTTCCAGAAAGAAGGCCGGTGAAGCTGGTTCGCAGCAACAGCACCCGCGCAATACGTCCATGAACATTCCTCCATTTTGCCACCTATACCTGCTCGCACAGGTCTGGCATGGATGTGCCACCAGGAGGACTCCGATGTGCGTGGCGGCATTCTGGCAGATGAAATGGGCATGGGCAAGACGATCCAGGTTCCCAGCCACAATGATCCAGTCTCGTGTTGCAGGGCTATCTTGCATCCCTGGAAGGCCATCAGCTTGTTGCTGGCTCGCCCCTTGAAGGGGCCGTGTCTTGTGGTGTGTCCCATGGCTGCGGTCCAGCAGTGGGTGAAAGAAATTGCCGCTGGCTGGCATGAAGAAAAAGTCATGTTGTGCGACGGGCATGAAGCTTGTGATTCGAAGAGCCACTCAGGGCAAATTCACCAAGAAAGGCTGGGCCATGCCGAGTAGTACTGGGTGGTCATCAGACTCCTTGAGCGCGCGAGCTGATAATCGTGTGAAGGGGGGACCTCCCGGCTAGGAGCAATGCGGACCCTTGTCTACCACGGATCGGAGAAGGGCAAGGTCGCCACGCAGTTCAAAAAGTGCCACTCTCCCTGGAAATCTCATGGCTTGTGCATGATTGGGGTTGGCCTTATGCCTTATGAGTCTAATGCCTGCATGTGTCAGCAATGCCTGAGCCGTGGGGGCAGCAGAGGTGATGTTGTAATCACAACGTATCAGACTCTCGAGTTCCTCGGCTTCATTCTGGAAACGGGGTTCCATACAGCGCCGCGTGTAACACGACTTGTGATAATGGCAACTACCAGCTGCGTGCGACCCGGATGTGCTACAAAGTGTTCCAAAGTGCCCGGAGAAAAGATTATTGTAATGATCTCTGACCCAGCGAAGGTCGGATTACCGTCGTGAAGCCCACAAGCATCGGGTGAAATGCGGCTCTGCTGTACTCATGCCACCGCGACCTTTTCCCAGTCGCGACGGCAGTATTCTTGCAGTGTGCCTTTTTCTTGCGGCTCTCAGAAACCTTAAACCCTGAGCCCAAAAACTAAACCTAAACCCTAAACCCTAAGGCAAGTATTGTGGCAAGCTCTTCATGCCCGAGTGCCTCGTCTGCCTTGGCTCTCACAGAGTCTGAGAGGCCGAGCGTTTCGGAGCCACCCGAGTTGGATCGCAGGAAGCTGGCCGTCCATCAGCGGTACTTCTGCGGGCCCAATGCGGAGAAGACCAAGAAACAGCAGATACCTGACAGCACAAAGCGTCTGAACGTTCGTCTGCAGGGTTGCAGAGACTCCAGATGCGCGCAAAGACTTTTATATGAACTGAGGAAGACCGCAGCCAAGAAAGCTATGCAAAGCATGGGCATTGGGAACTCTTCTTCCTCTTCTTCAAAGGAGGCTCCACCGACGATCACGAACATCTATCGTTCGGTCCACGGCGAACTTGCGGAGCACTTGTGGGCTTGTGGCCATGCGCCGTAGACATTGGTCTCCGAGGCGACTTCATGAAGCAGGCTGGGGTAGATGTCAAAGCCAAAGGCTACTGGAACGCCGCTGGCCTCGGATTGTCACAAAATCTCGCAGCCGCTTTTAACAGCTCAAGAAAGATAAGCAAGCTCCCCATGTTACCAGTGCAATCCTGCAAAAATTACTTTCTGGCTCCTATTGGGGCGGCCCAGGTCATGAAAGAGACTCGAGACAGGTTGCAGGAGCCGTGCTCTGCGCAAAGCACTCCCAGAGTGAATTTGAAGAGACTGTGAGGAGAAATCATCGTCCTCGTCCAAGGCACTGAAATTGCATCCTTGCAGTCTTTGCTGAAGCTGCATGCTGTTTCACGTGGGGTATAGTTGAGAGCGAGCCCAGATAGAAATGCCTGCATGTGAAGCCCGGTAGGCCAAGACGAGCGAGGACGGCCTCAGCCGTGAACGACTTAACCTCCTTGACAAGAAGGATGGAGCATGCTGAGGAAGTTGACCGGCTGCTGGAGTGGACATTTTCTGCATGCCTCGAAGGAGTTGACCGACCTCTGCGCGAAGAAAGGCCCCCTCACAGTGCGTGAGCTTTTCAGTGTGCAAGCTAGGCCTGGGAATGGGAACCTATGGGAACCTCCAAGCTTCCAGAACCCCCTCCAGATTGTACCACAGTGATAAGGTCTTCGATAAAAAAGCTTGCATTTGGGTCTGGTAGTGACGGATGACGTGCAACAGGAGCCTCTCACCAATTTAAAAGCAAGCATGCTTGCGGAGTGTAGGCCTGGATTCCGCGGGCCGCAAGCCCGAGCTCGTGGATCGTCTCATGGACTTCGCGGTCACCGGCATGGCAGAGGCTCCTGCCAAGAAGGCCTGGAGGATGGCCGTGCCCGTGCCAAGGCTTCGCTCTGTTTCTACATATCTATCGATCGATCTATTTGTCTGCCTATCTACCTATCTACCTATCTACCTATCTACCTATCTACCTATCTATATCTACCTATCTACCTATCTATATCTACCTATCTACCTATCTATCGATCTATCTATCTATGTACCTATCTATGTACCTATCTATATACTGAGCTATCTATCTATCTATCTATCTATCTATCTAGCATACGTACATTCATCTTCAGGGGCTGATGTGTGTCTGTGGTCTGCAGGCGACGCTGGCCATGAAGCTCATGACGTCCGTGTCCCCCAAGGTTACGCGAAGCTGTAGATATCCTAGTGGCAATGTATGCTGCCGGACCGAAGCAGCCTGAAGGCCAAAGCCCAGGCTGCGAAGCCGGGGAGCGCGCCGGGAAAGAAGCGGCACCGCGACAAAACTGTTTTCTCACGGACTTGGCGTTGCCTCGTGGAGTAACTAGGACGCAGATGGACGCAGCTAGGATGTGCTCCCAAGGCCTCTGCTGCTCCGCACAAGCCCATCTGGATCGTCGAAGCCTGGATCCTGACCTCGTTGATCGGACGAGTTTGAACACTTGGCTGTGGAGTTCAAAAGAGAAATCCATGATGACTCAGGTACCAGGGAGTCTCGCATGTGAAGGCCAGTGGCAAGTGGCAGGCCATGTACAAGGCAGCTTGCATGTGTCACGCGTACTGAAAGCTGTGGGCTGTTTGATGCTGTGTGGAATCACGTTATGCAAGCGTCCACGGCCACATCTGTCACGACGTGTATCACAGAACCGTACCCATACCGGCCGGTACGACTGAGACAACCAGGGCCAGCGCCTGGGCAGCTTCGCGTCGGACCGGTTGCTGACTGAAAGAGGGAAGAAGAGGGTGGGGGAAGTGGGGTGCTGCTTAATCTTCTTTGAACGGTGCCAGGAGCTGAAGGCTGCGCAGGCGGTCCGCGATGCGGCCGAAGAAACGGATCGATCGGAGAGCAAGAAGGGAAAGGCCAAGGCTGCCAAGGCAGCCAAGCGGAGGTTTGGCAGAATTTCGCATCTATCCGAGATTCTTCCAGGGCAGTGCCGAGCCGCCTCAAAGTCGGAATGGCTTGGCTCGGACTGTGGCGCAAGGCGGGAATTGCCCTTCTTGGGCGCCGTGCTCCAGCACAAGCTGTTACTGGTTACTGGTGAAGTTCAGGTAAGGCAACCGCTACTGGCAGCAAGCGCAAGCATGACGAGATGGAAGGGAACAACTATGACACTCGCTCAAAATAGCGCGCCCTGCATGCTGCATGTGGGTTCATTGCCCAGCACCTTAAGTCACCGAAGCGAATTGATCAACGCTGCTGCACTGAACTGTGACACAGTGACGTCTTGGCCAGCGGTAGTTATTCTGCGAGGGTTTGTACTATTGGTAACACAAGCGGCATTTCTCGGCCAGTCATCTATGCGGTGCATCTAAGGAAGGTTATGTAACTTGGCTGCAAGATGTGCTGAATGATCGGGAAATGACTGCATGTCTGTTAAGTCCTGTTGGCTCCAGATAATTCCAGGAGGTGGGGTCGGCGCAGAAGTGTTGGAATTGTTAAATAGATGGGTGGCGTTGAGCTTCAGCCGGCCCTTGCTTGGAGTCGTGGGCTACCAAAGAACACCTTGTGGCCCGGTTTGTCAGGAAACCTACGAGGGTGCGCAGCTGGACCTGAGCGAATCTCCTCTGCACGCGATTGAGTGGGCTCGAGTCGTGCTGGACGAGGCGAGGTGACCTCCTCGGGCGAGCATTGTAATTCCACCGACCGCATCGCAGGCTCATCGCATCAAGGGCCGCACCAACAGCACGGCACTCGCGGCCTATGCACTGCAAGCGCAGAAGGGCTACAGGCACCTTGCTTCAAGGGCGGCGGGGAGGTGTGTAGCCTGCAAAGCTGCAGCGAAGTAGGTATCTATTCTCAGCAAAACGAGAATTTGCCGGTAATCACACCACCACGTCCCATGAGCGACCTCGCAAGCAGTGTGGGTACAGCGAAGATACAGTCAGTTTGGCAATATGAATAATTGGATCAATGAGAACATACTAGCATACTACCAGTCGCAGCAACTGTGGTAGGAGGAGCAGGAGGAAGAGGAGGAGCAATGGTGAGAGCAGGAACGCGAGTAGGAGTCGGTGTAGGTGGAGTAGGAGTAGGCGTAGGAGTAGGCGTAGGAGTAGGAGTGGGGTAGGAGTAGTAGGAGTAGTAGGAGTAGCGAGTAGTAGGAGTAGTGGGAGTGGGAGTGGGAGCAGGAGGAGGAGAAGTAGTAGTCGTCGTAGTAGTAGTAGTCGTCGTCGTCGTAGTATAGTAGTAAAAGTAGTAGTAGTAGTAGTAGTAGTAGTAGTAGTACTCGTGGTGGTGGTGGTCGTGGTAGTTGTTGTAGTAGTAGGATTGGGAGCAGGAGTAGTGGTAGTGGTACTGCTACTGCTACTGGTACTGGTGGTAGTGGTAGTGGTGGTGGTAGTAGTAGTAGTAGTAGTAGCAGCAGCAGCAGCAGCAGTAGTGGTGGTGGTGGTAGCAGTGGTAGTTAGCAGTGGTAGTTGTGGTAGCAGCCGCAGCAGATCAGCAGCAGCAGAGGAGCAGGAGCAGTAGCAGTAGCAGTAGATCCGGAAGGGGCAGTAGTAGTCGTCGTGGCCGTAGCCGCAGTAGCAGTAGCAGCAGCAGCAGCAGCAGCAGCAGCAGCAGTCGTAGTAGCAGTAGCAGCACTTGCATTGTCATCTGCATCAGCATGAATACATATAATATATGTTTATATATATGTATATGTATAGA